TTTCTCATAGTCTGGGAGTCCTTCATGTGTTTTTTGGCAAACTCTATTAATGAGAAATAAAATGAACTTTTTTGATTTTAGCAAATGGCTGCAATGAAACAAAGAGTGAAAAATTTAAAGGGGTCTGAATACTTTCCGTACCCACTGTATGTAATGTTGGCACCCTCCTCTTGTGCAGTGCACAAGATTAGCTGGGAGGATCCAGTTTTTCTACAAACAACTTATATTAGAGGAATTTATAAGATTTTATAGTCACTTACAAAATAAACACTTTTTTGGGGTGATAAAATATTTGGTCCTCTACCTAAAAATCTGGGGCCTACAACAAAAACATTTCTATTTATAAATCACACTCAACTTAAACATGTGTGCATGTGGACGAGCAACATACTGCTCTCACAATTAATCATAAATGGTTAAAAGTATATCCTTCATGACTATTGATATAGGTATTGGCTGAGACGTTTAAGAGGCTGATTTCTGCTGCAGCTGTTGATGCAGACAACTAGGGATGTCACGAAAACCCATACTTTGGTACCAAGTGATATTCTGAAAACGTGACTACTTGCTTTTCTTCAGTATGGTCACCGAAGGTACTGCACCAGACTAACAGCACCTTAAAACTGAAAGGACGCAGTAAACTCTACCGACGTGTCCAGGGGACGCACCCTTTTCCCCTGATAATGCTACATTACAATATATCAATGTTGAAATTGTAAGAAGTCAGTTAAAGTTAGCGATTAGCCACCGGTGGGCAGCACAGTCCTGCTTGGCTAAACAATGAAGCTAACAGCTTAAGTTAATGGAGGTTGCAGAGTTACATGTAGTGATGCGCGGTATACCGAACGGTATGTCAACACCCAGCCATTAAAAACAGTATTGATCTTTGGAAGTCAGCAGGTTTTTGATCTATGTAATCAAGTTACATCAAGGAGGTCTCGAGTTAATTTAATGTAGCAATAAAGTCCTTGGAAAAGGTAAATAAAGAATCCATCTTGTACCGATATATTATCTTAATAGAAACACTATATATATTTTTGTGTATGGCTTATACATGCTAGTGGTCCTGAACCATAGTTTTAGGATAACAAACTGAAACAAGACATTTTGGAGAATGAAAGATGAGCTCTACCTGAATAGTGAGGATGGCATCTTTGAGGGTGGGCAACCGCTCTTCCAGCTCTTTGCTGTTCATGACCAGCTTCAGTCCTTCCAACAGGCTATTCCCTGTCAGATTATGATTGCTGACAACACTACCGCTGTGGCTCCTCTTTCTCTTTGCCTCTTTGCCATGACTCTTTTCACCACTGCTACTTCGTGACCTGGGCCTCCTGACCCGGCTCTTGCTCCGCACATGACTCTTCTTCTTGCTTCGGCTCTGGCTTCTACTGCGAGCCCTGCTCTTGCTTCTCGCCCTGCTCTTGCCCCGTACACGGCTTTTGCTCCTTGCTCTACCTCGGCTTTTGCTTCGTGCACGACTCTTTGCTTGAGATTTGCCGCGGCTTCGACTACGGCTTTTGCTCCTGGTCGCATGCTTCTGGAACTTGGGGTCAGATTTAAGGATGTCTTTCAGGATATTAGCCGACTTAAATGCGTCAGCCAGGTTGTATGCCATGTTCCCTTTGAGATAGTCTGGGAGAGGCTTGTTGGCTGCGATGCATCTCAGGAATTCCTCACCAGCCCGCTCACTGAAAAGCAGCATGCATGTGCTTCAAATGACAGCAAACTCAAAATATACATTAAAACATTATTGCAGCTCTTCCTGCTTAGACTTACACAAAATATGGAATCAACCTTAGCACACATATACCTGCTGTCTGGAGTGTGATGTTCCACAGGAGTGGGATTCCACTGTGGGACTTGAACGTGATGTGGTTGTACAGGAGGGACGATCTGCTGGCTGCCTCCCAAAGCATTCACTGTACTACGATCTATGGAGAAGCTGCTACAGTGGGGCTGAGAGTTTTCAGAATTCATGTTATAACGACAAATTATAAAAAATAAATAGAAAACGGACAGTTTCACATGTACATATCTTTAAGTAGAAAGTGTACACTAAAAACTGTTTGGATCTGTGGTTATTACAGTGTACAGTACGATTTTTACAATTTCCCTGGGAGATCAGCAAATGACATGCTCAACAGACAGAAAATCAACAGCACCTGAAATAATTAACATTGGTGAACACCTGAAATGAAATAGGCATTTCCTAATGATCAGCAACAATTGAGTTTAGTGTAGACTACGGAATAATCTGGACATGAGGATCACTGCTTTTATGCTGACCTACATGACCAAGTAATACTGTCAAGTTTGCAGTTTATTGATCTACAAAGGAATAAACTGCAAACTTGACAGTATTACTTCAAACCAGGAAAACTGGTTTACTTTTTTATGTTTGAATGTGGGAAATCTGTAAATAATCTTAAATAAGCTTTTATTTAAAAAAATAATGTGACATTGTATTGGGTTATTCAAGATATTTTTGGAAGAGATTACAAAGAAACAAAAGCAAGATCAGGGCATGAATCATCTGCTAAGCAGCCAATAATTACTGTTACAATTTCCATCACAGGATATCTCGATAAGGAGCTCAAAAAGTCTGGAAAATGCGAAGAGCCACAGAAAATCGGTCCGACGGCTTCAGAGTGTCCGACAGGACAGAGTGCGAGTATGCGACTAATAAACAAATGTGGGATGTGTGTCCTGCTTTAATGGACTAGCTCAGTGGTTCTCAAACTGTGGGGTGTGCCCCTCTAGTGGGGCGCGGTGGTATTACAGGTGTGGCGCAGGGGGAAATTATTTATTTATTTATTTTTTTAAGTAATTAATAAATACATGGCGAAATGCCTGTACTTTCGTGTAAATGTTTACGTTACGCCGTTAACAGGTTACGCTTGCGCATGCGCGACGGCCATGATCCTTGGTGACTCACATGTGTGGCTTAGTGTTCAAAATGAAGAGACATTTGGCAGGCGGGAACAGAAAAGCAACCGCAAGCGATGCATCCGAGACTAACAGCAAGCAGCCAAGAAGAAAATATGTTGACGCCTATCTTGCTCTGGGTTTCACAGTGAACGCGGTAGGAGATGAGGAGAGACCAGTCTGTGTTTTATGTCTGAAAACTCTAGCTGCGGATAGTATGAAACCCAACAAATTAAAAAGACACTTGAAGACATTACAGCCCACTCACGTCAATAAGCCACTGGAGTTCTTTCAGAGGAAACTTGATGAATACCGCAAGCAAAATGCAGTGTAAAACTCTTTATAGCCAAATATTTGAACTTGTTTTTAGTTTTTCACAGGTTGCACTTTATTGTTATCTTGAAAAGATGTTTAGTGCAAAACAGGTTAATTGCAGCCAATTGCAATAAGCTATTTTTTGCCAAATTGTAGTTCTTTTTTGCACAGATATAACTTTATTTGCATTGTTCTAACAAAGTGATTGCACATTTTATTAGTTTTTGTCTGATGGAGCAATCTGGTTTACTTAAAGGTGATTGCAATTTTCTTTATTCTATTATTTGAAAAAGCACAGACAGAGGAGTCACAAAATGTTATTTAAATAAAAATTCAACAGACCATTTTGTTACAATTCTGTTGGGGCGGTGGGGCATGAACATTTTTCTTCCTCCAAAGTGGGGCGCGACAGAAAAAATTTGAGAACCACTGGACTAGCTCATGCTACACCTTTACAGGAGAAGAAGCTTCAAGGATCAGGACTTTGTCAGAATCTTTTTTTAATTACGTTTTTTAATTATTGCCCTTATTTTGTATTTTCAATATCATAGCATAAGGGATACTTGTAATTTATAGTACACTATAGCCTATTGTAAGTGTTGTAGAATGGTAGTAGTAGTACAATGTGTAGCATGCTGCCCGTGCTGAGACCATGGGACCAGACAAAAGCAAAATGAACCAGCTTAAAGAAAGACAGCAAACGGGTCTCCGTTACAACTTTCTGATATATTTTGTACAAACACTGTTGAATTCCCTTTGTGAACAAAACATGGTAACAAAAAGACATTATCAAAAGGTTGATACACAGCGTAAATGAAATAAATTATACAATCCATATAAAGTATACAAGACATATGGAAGTGTCAAGTGGTAAAATGATTTCATCTGCAGTTACTGTCTCTAAATGTATTTGATCAACATTTCATACAGTGCTTTGATCTTTATATCTCTAATTCTACTTGATAACTGACTTCAGTTGAAGTTGATATTAAAACAAGACATCAATACTTCAGCCACACTAGTGGCCCGGTGCTGAAAGGATGTCTGTCTGTCCATCCAGCCAATAGTTGCCCAAATATTTCACTCTGGACCAAGTGTTGGAACAAAGGACTGACAGATCACCATCTTTCAGGCAAGGTCACACAACAATGTAAAATGGTGGGATTTTGTTCACATTGAGTCAAACTTTGGTGAAATCTGATAGAAACTTGCTACATTGACCAAAACCAAGTTGTCTTGACAGTGCTGACCTTTGAGGGCCTTGTCTAAATTGTTCACCTATATTTGCGAAAACTTTCACAAGACTAGCCGCCCGACGACCTTTCCCCAACCATAACCATCCGAGGTTGATGCCTAGCCTCAACCATCGAGGGTTACCATCTAGACACGACCACCTTTGAGGGAAAGGAGAGCTGGAGAGTCCACTCAGCTATTATAGCTTATTGAGAGAAAGTTAGCAAGCTCACTAGCTCAGAAAGGGTTTTTGCCCCTCTCTTCAATAACTTCTACTGCTAGCAAAAGGTCATGTTACTGGCTACAATGCAGGATTTTCCTAAAGAACAATGTATAGACTCATACATAAGTAATCCCTCTCAATTATAGCCCACTAAAAGTGTGTGGTGGTGTGTATCGGCAGAGACCCTGCCCCCCACACGTGCACGCATCCAAGCGGAAGTTACGAAAATTGTGGACACAGCTTCAAAACTTTTTTTTACTATAGCAAGGCGAAATGCCAAGGAGACAAAGCTTGTTCCAAAACAAGAATGACTTGGGGATTGGCTGCAGCATGTGGTGTGCAGGTGGTACACTGGGCTGTGTTCTGGCCACCACAGTGGGGGACGCGCACTTCTGGTGTTGCTGAGTCAGGGAGAGGAGCAAACAATTCCAGCATAGTATCCCTTTAGGTAAGCTTACACAAGAACCGCATCATTTTGAATACCTTCACTTGTAGTATTTCCTTTTGATGAAACTTTCAATGATACCTGAATGTTAATGTAGCAGTTTAACTCATTTGGCACATGCTTTCATCCAAAGTACAAATGAGGTACATTCCAAATCACAGTAAAGCAGTAGTGTACTTTCTTCTTCTTTTCCAGCTATAGACCAATGATGCACTTTTCTACCAGGTCCAATGGCTCTGCCAATCCTCGATTCCTTTATATTTTTGACTGCAAAATATGGGAATCAATGTAAAGGACATACAGATTATTGATCACATATAAGACTGATACAAATATACATCTACAGTTGTGTGAAAAAGTGTTTGCCCCCTTCCTGATTTATTTTTTTTGCATGTTTGTCACACTTAACTGTTTCAGATCATCAAACAAATTTAAATATTAGACAAAGATAACACAAGTAAACACAAAATGCAGTTTTTAAATGAAGGTTTTTATTATTAAGGGAAAAAAAAAATCCAAACCTACATGGCCCTGTGTGAAAAAGTGATTGCCCCCCCCGTTAAAACATAAATTAACTGTGGTTTACCACATCTTTGGAAAGCCGAGTTCAATTTCTCTAGCCACACCCAGGCCTGATTACTGCCACACCTGTTCTCAATCAAGAAATCACTTAAATAGGACCTGCCTGACAAAGTGAGGTAGACCAAAAGATCCTCAAAAGCTAGACATCATGCTGCAATCCAAAGAAATTCAGGAACAAATGAGAAACAAAGCAATTGAGATCTATCAGTCTGGAAAAGGTTACAAAGCCATTTCTAAAGCTTTGGGACTCCAGCGAACCACAGTGAGAGCCATTATCCACAAATGGCAAAAACATGGAACAGTGGTGAACCTTCCCAGGAGTGGCCGGCCGACCAAAATTACCCCAAGAGCGCAGCGACGACTCATCCAAGAGGTCACAAAAGACCCCAGAACAACATCCAAAGAACTGCGGGCCTCACTTGCCTCAATTAAGGTCAGTGTTCATGACTCCACCATAAGAAAGAGACTGGGCAAAAATGGCCTGCATGGCAGAGTTCCAAGACGAAAACCACTGCTGAGCAAAAAGAACATAAAGGCTCGTCTCAGTTTTGCCAGAAAACATCTTGATGATCCCCAAGACTTTTGGGAAAATACTCTGTGGACTGACGAGACAAAAGTTGAACTTTTTGGAAGGTGTATGTCCCATTACAACTGGCATAAAAGTAACACGGCATTTCAGACATCATACCAACAGTAAAATATGGTGGTGGTGGCTGTTTTGCTGCTTCAGGACCTGGAAGACTTGCTTTGGTAAATGGAACCATGAATTCTGCTGTCTACCAACAAATCCTGAAGGAGAAAGTCCGGCCATTTGTTCGTGACCTCAAGCTGAAGCGCACTTGGGTTCTGCAGCAGGACAATGATCCAAAACACACCAGCAAGTCCACCTCTGAATGGCTTAAGAAAAACAAAATGAAGACTTGAGTGGCCTAGTCAATGTCCCGACCTGAATCCGATTGAGATGCTGTGGCATGACCTTAAAAAGGCAGTTCATGCTTGAAAACCCTCCAATGTGGCTGAATTACAACAATTCTGCAAAGATGAGTGGGCCAAAATTCCTCTACAGCGCTGTAAAAGACTCATTGCCAGTTATCGCAAACACTTGATTGCAGTTGTTGCTGCTAAGGGTGGCCCAACCAGTTATTAGGTTTAGGGGGCAATCACTTTTTCACACAGGGCCATGTAGGTTTGGATGTTTTTTCCCCCTTAATTATAAAAACTTCATTTAAAAACTGCATTTTGTGTTTACTTGTGTTATCTTTGTCTAATATTTAAATTTGTTTGATGATCTGAAACATTTAAGTGTGACAAACATGCAAAAAATTAAGAAATCAGGAAGGGGGCAAACACTTTTTCACACAACTGTATCACAATATAATTTTTAGGACATAAGTGACAGAAAATATAAGGGTCAACTTAATGTTATAATAGTCATATTAAAAAAGTTATAACCACTCAAATTAAAATTGCTCTTTAGTCTAGAGTCCTTTAAGTTGCATAGATGTTTAAACCTGTATAATATCTGGCTAGGAAAAAGCACGGCTCGCAAACAACCTAGTCTATTTTTCTATAAAAAAAAGGAACAAAAATCAGCCGACTTACCCATTTCAATGTAAACCAGGTTTATGGTACTGCCAGGTCCACTGTAGCCAATGGAAGTGGCTGATCCTGACTGTGACAAAGTTGACCGCACTGTGTCATCATGCCATTGAAATGACCTGTCAGAAAATTTGGAAGTCCATAGAGAGCATCCAGGATGCATAAGAAATGGTGTGTGGACCAAAATTCAGTTGTGGCTGCTGCCAACACTATTGAGCTTTATAGCTACAGTTTTAAATGTACGCTTTGTAAGTAGCTATACAGTGCTGCAGGAATAAGTCCTATAACACGAAAATGAGTAATCATTTTTACACTTACGGTTCCCTCGTCACAAAGTCGATGGGTTTTTTGAATGGGTTTTTGGTGAGATGCCTGAAATAAGGTCTGTGGTTAAAACAAGCTTGAGAGATTTTAACATTTTGTTTTAAGTTAAAAAATGCATCAGAAAAATTGCCCACTTGTGAATTTTGAAGCTTAAGGAGACTAACAAATGGCTAAATGAGACTACCAAACGTCATCACTTGAACACTTTAGCTTCGTGGTGTAGGCTAGCTAATTTATAGCTTACCATTAGCTTTTAACTTCTGCTGACTAGTCACACTTAAAAATCATAAAAATGGAGTTTAAGTAAACGTTTAAGTATCATACATTTTTTTTCTGCACTAATCCGAAAAGCCATAGGGAAAATCCCATTGGCTTTTTGTCGAGGGAACCAGTGCGGCGCCAACTTCCGTAGTTGTCCTACAAAATGACGCCATCGCTGCAGAGCTCTACTGTGTTACTTATAGCATGACACTTTCAGCCACTCTTATCATACAAGGTTGAGTTGGTTAGATTGTATTTTGTGTCAATCATGGGCTCTCTGCATTATTTTATTATGTACTAATGTTCTAAACTGCATTCTGCCATGATGAGAAATCTTGAAGTGAGTCACATAGAAGTGGGCTCTTTGCCCTTGAATGTAGTTATGGCATTTAGAGAGGGTATGGTCGAAAAGTATGCTCAGAAAGTCCCAAACAAATCATATGCCCACATGATTTAATCCAAATGTCATAGAGGAGCTTTTCGCTACTTTCAGATTGACCAAACAGTAATTCAGATGGAGCATATGCCAATAAATCAAACATGTTACCTTATTACAACCATAACATCTAATTATGTAAAACACTTCCAACATAAAGCTGTTCTGTGTTTAAAAAAAACTAGGGTCACCAGAACAGCTACTATCATAATCACTGAGCCACTATCATAATCACTGAGCCACAAAACCAAACACAGCCTTTAGGGTACTTTTGTGATGACAACTTTGTAAGTCACATGATCCCTTTCTTGTATTACAGGTTTCATGAGCAATAATGAAACCTGATGCAAGATTTTACTGACTAGCTGATTTTTCTTTTGCCTGCATATTGTAATGTCAGGAATGATCTTCTACCCAGTATAATGCTAGAGGTTACCCTACCTCTGCCTAGGTAGAGACTGATCGGAAGCAGAAATGTACAGTATAGGGCTAAACTAAAGCAGTCTTCTTGCACCTGTTCCTGCACCATATCCTCTGTGGACATGCAGCTTCTGAAGTATATGCTGTGGTCATCAGTACCCTGCACTAGTGTAATTACAGTAGAAGGCTTGAGTTCAGACATAGGCTACCAGCTTTGTAAGTGTCTTATACCAACATCTGAAGATACCAGACATAAAGCTTGGAATGTTTAACTTAGATATGTATTAGATCGGCGTATTATTAGGCATATGTTGGCAACGCTTTACGGGTAAATACCATAACTTTATACACGAGGACAGTAAAGCAAGATTTCAGTTACCTTCGCGGGTCATTTGACTCGCGTCATATTTGTCCCTAAAATGTGAGACATGGTAGGGAACCCGTTTGGGACGATACATTTACACAAGAAGATATCATGCTGTGTACTCAGGTGGCCCTACTTATTATTATACAAAGTCAGATACATACATTTGTAGCTGCTTCTCATGGTGGTCTATGTGCTAGCATAACTATTATGTAGCTAGCTAACTGAGCTAGCGTTATTAGCCTGTTGGGTACGTACACTGATGAAATGCTCTCTCGGTAGCCTGTTGTGGAGAAAATGGCTCTCCGGTGCTGAGGCCGAAAATGGTCCGCAAGGTGCAGGTGGCAAATGTCCCGGAGGAGGAACACCACAGGGCCCTCGGGGTCTGAACGGAGGGCCATGGGGTGGTTGAGGTCCGAACGGCGGAGGTCCGTGACCAGGTGTAGCGTTTCCTGGGCAGTACATGTTCGTGTTGACGAGGACATGCAATGTCCTGTCTCGCAGACTAAAGAAACAAAATTGAAGCGAAAACGGTATCCTGTCAAATGTGCTATTTCTTTGCACACAGTTTCGGGTCTGGTTCAGGTTTGGTTCCACGATCAGCGCCGACTGTGGCTGCCACCGGAAATATAACAGTAACACATGACAACTTCCGGAGTAATCAATTCAGAAGGTCTAAAATGCCCAATCCCTCTGCCAACGTGACCAACGACAAAAAATATGTACAATTGTGTTTATTATATATTTTGTACTACCTGATTTGAACATATTCCAGGCTTTTTCTTCACAAGATGAGATAATTTCAAATAATCAATTTACTCGATTTTTATCAAAACAGCTTCAATGACCAAATAAAATGTTTGATGAATACATCTGTTATAGTCTCTGCTTCCATTCTTCAGCTTTCATGTGTTTTTGTTCCATCTTTAATGTTTCTGAGTAAACTTAATGACAGGCTGAACACACCTCTGCTGTCCTTTGTTTACCTTTTTGTATGTCTCCTGCTTCCACTTGGTACCCCGTGTTTAACGGCACATTGCTATGAATTGTGGGTAATTCCCTTGGGCAAAGTCTGCAGAAATGCAGATTTACGGAAAGGGTTCATAAAGGGCTCAAAATGTCTGACAGAGAGCCCTCAAAACTCAATTTGACAGTGGGACAGAACTCTCAAAGATTTTGCGGTAGCGCGCCTGAAAATCTGCGAGTCCGTGAGTCCTAGGCCCAATTTAGGCCCAATTTGGTATATCAATTGAGTTGCACTCGATGTCTTTTATATCCTTTACAATTCATTTTGTATGTACGCCCTCTGGCGTTTCGGAGAATAATGCAGGGCATACATAGAGTATAAACACCTCAGCGCGAGTGTAAATACAGCTGTGTTCTATTATATATTGAAACTGCTTTTAATAATCTAAAAGATTAATTCAGATCCCGGGGAAAATTAATTTGTATAATATTTACGGCATATATTATTTCAAATGTCCTTGGACAAGAATATTCATACAAACAGAAGCCCACTAATTCAAAACGAAAGTTATTCAAGTTCCCTCTTGATTTACTCAATGATGACTTTTTAATTGATATATTGAATGCAATTACTAGTACGTATAAACTTTTTTGTCCTGCGTTATATTTTTTTCCCTGGACAGATCTTTTGTAGTGAAAACATAAATAAGTTGTCTGGAGAAAACTATTTCTCATATGGTTTTACAGTTCCTCGACTTAGATAACCAGACCATTGAATGAAAAGTGACAATGTTCTCATTTCAGATTTTATTGCTCATTCACACACCCATGCAAACCTTCCAACATCCATATTTGTATGCACACAATCTTCCATGAGCAGTAAAAGATGACATGTTAAATAAGTAACAAAGGAGATTCCAGTCAAACCTACTGAAACAAAATGAAGACTGGAAAGATGAAGTTGTTTTCAAGTAATCGTCAAATTCAATGAAACTATTAAGGATTTCAGGAGTGCACTTCTAATGTCACATATACAGTAGGCGCACCAACACTGAAATCTTAGGACGCAATCCTGTCTTTCAAAAACATGTCCAATATAAGGCTAATTAAGTGTCAAGGTGAGATCAAAACAGCAGAGTCCAACTAATCAAGTAACCATCTATAGAAGAGCTGTTGGCTTGAATACTTGTGTTGAGGAGGCAGAGAAAAACAACAACACACCATCATGAAAACACAAAGGACTACAATAAAACTGCCCTCTGTAGTAAAACAATAAATCCAAAACAGCCCGTACTGAGTGTCTACAGTATCTGTGTGGATCTCCTACATCCTCAAACATGTTCGTCAACTTTTAACCGTGCTGAAAATTGTAAATTGGATGATAAGGCATTTCAAATATGTTCACATATGATATGGAGTCCATCTTTGAGTGGACTCTGCTGCAATGCCCCTCACTGTGTCTTCAACTAGTGTAGTGTCTGCCTTGATTAAAGCCAGCTTGGCTGTAGTGCTGCCCGCCATGTTGGAAGAACTGTTCAAACTGTCCTCCTTGATTAAAATTCTGCCCCCCTCTCCCTCCCCATCCTCCTCCTCGTCCTCCTTCTCCTCCTCCTCCTCGGCCTCCTCTTCCCCTGCCCCCACGACTTCCTCGACCCCCTCCTCTCTCCTGATGCCAGCCTCCATCTTGTTGGTAATTGTCATGGTAACCACCTCCACCTCCTCCATGGTAGCCAGGATCCTGAAAGCCTCCTTGGTTGTTCCCTCCTCCTCCGTAGCCACCTCTCCCTCCTCCCCCTTGATGACTTCCAGCATCTTGATAGTGGCCCTGGCTGTAACCGCCTCTCCCTCCTCCAACACAGTCACCCCAGCCTCCCTGCACCTTCCCCCCTCTGCTGCCGCCTCCTCCTCTACCTCCCCTGTCTCCATGTCCTCCTCCGCCTCCTCTTTCATATCCTCCACGGCCACCTTGGGAGTGGTGATCATAGCCCCCCCTGCCACCTCCATGCCCACTCCCACCATAGTGTCCTCCGCCTTGGGGAGCATCCTGACGCTTCTGCCAGGAGGGCATCTCGGGGGGAGGAGCCTCAATCTCACAGGGTCGGCCTCCTCTGTCTGGTACTCGGCCCATTAGAACCTGAAAAACGAACACACATTAAAACAAAACGTTTGAAAGGGAAGCCCGCTACCCAAATTTGACCCCACTTTTGGTTGTTGTTTGTATGAGCTTAAGTTTCTTGATGTGTTAAGAGCCTCGCTGTTCTTTATGAAAAGGTACGGACGCAGGATGGAGGGACAGAGTTGTTCCACCGCTGAGTCGACAGAGGAGGTAGTGACAGAGCTCCTTACCCTCCAAGCAGAGGACAAGATCAACCGGCATATTACAGGGACGGTAAAGGAGAAGTCACTGCCCGACACGCATGTTATATGTCAAACTAGACGCCAACGCTGGTGTTTTAAACGTCACACCTTTTTTGCTGCTGTGATGCCGGCTATCTGAAATCAGTGTTTCGCTATCGTTTGGTTCCCGTTTGAAAAAAAACAGGATAACAGCAGATCTTCTTTACGGCAGTATTGCTGAATCTCTGTGTCGAAGGGGCTAAGGGAAGGGCTTTAAACCAAAATATGAATGTACACTGGAAGTACACCCTCAACCTTTTCTACTTTCTATCTAAAACCAAATATGTCCGATTAAAAAACAACAACAACACGTCATATTTTGGCAAAAAACATCTTTAAGCATTTTCTAGAGCAACAAATGTGTATTAATACCTTGCTGTGTCAGTCCGTGTTACAGACTGACACAATCGGTTATTGTCTACTTCAAAAATCTGCTTTAGCCTGCCTGTTTTAGCATACATCAAATAGATAAACATTTGTTTAGAAGACATGGAACAATTACGAGAACATGGACTTCTTCACATCACTTATAAACAGAGAAACAGGATGAAAACAGTGTATGAATAACCTATAACATGGAAAAAATGTTGCGCTTACACTGTGTTTAACCTACCTTATTAATGGCACAAGCAGTCTTCTCTCTTATCTTGCCACTGCTTGTCCGTAGGATCTTGGAGAAGTCTTGTCGAGCAGCAAGAAGGTGAGCAAGAGAGATTGTACTTTTGGTGTCAAGAGCAGAACGTAGTGGCTGGTAAACTTTGGCCAACTTTTCAGCATGCGTCTGTAATTAAACATTCAAAAGAATTCTAAAATGATTTTGGAAGCAGCAATCTGTCATAGTATTATGAAAAAGTTAATTCATGGTTTCATATTGCAGAAAATCAGGCCAACACACAATGCTTTGAGTAACAATGAAAAAACAAACAATACGAGCACTGCTACTAGATTTATCAAATCATGTTTGACGTGTGTATTTGAACAAGAACAATTGTTCAGATAACGAGAGGACAATCACGTAGTGTTGGTGTCTACATAGGAGTTAGAAGTGTTGCTTTGGCAGTTTAGAGCGGCAATAATTAGTTAATTAATTGATCAACAAAAAAATAATCAATAACGATTTTGATAATTGATTGAACTTTGAAGTTATTGGTTAGAAATATTTGTGATGCTTTTCCATTTCTTACATTACAGAATACTGTGAATCTGTTGGTCCGAAAATGGTGGCGTGATTCACTGTTTATGTTTGATAGACCAAACAAGTAATCAAGAGAATACTCGTCCCACCTCTCCTCAGCAGTATTGCTAAAGTAAACACAACGTGTACAAAGACTCCCTGTTTAAAATGCTATTTATGTGCTTCATCAGTGAATTGTGCACTTTTTAGATTAAGGAAGATTCAAACTTTTTACATACCTTTGCTTTGCCAGACCAACCAAAAGACTGCACTGTCACATCAAGGCGTTTCAACAACATTTTTCTTCTCACTTCATACTCATTTACAAGTGCTTGGTTTATGGCTTCAATTTTTTCCTGGCAAAATGAGAACAAAAGGAAAAGAGAAAAATTATTTATGGTCATTCACTTATGCAGTGTTACTGAGTTATATTATATTTCTTGATGGATTTTCAGTATTTACCAAGTGCAGAGGTCCAAGGGCCTTCTTCATCAAAGGCTCTCCTACGTGATTGGGTGGGACTTTACTCATGGCTTCTTTCAGCTATGAAAAATGGACAACAGGCGTGTATTATGTGTATGAACATTGACATAAATTACATTGAAAAAGGTAGATCAAACAGCAGATACAATACATTAAACCCCACTGTCAAAAGCAGAAATGTGTATAACTAGATTTCCTCTCACACTGTGACGAACATGAAAGTATGTTTGGGATGAACCTGTTGACAATATTTTCTGCGTATTACTATTACATGGTAATGCCAAAACATTCAAAACAAACTAAGCCTTTCCTGTGAGGACAGAAAGTCCCATGAAAGGGGATCCGTTATGAATGTCCATCCATAGGTACATTTACAGTCCATGATAATTTCACATGGGTGACTCCCATGTTAACCAATCGGGCTGTTCCGGCAGGATGTGTTGCGTCAAAACCCGTAGGTGAGGCCTGCTGTGTGCGCATCAAATTATTTAGAAGAAATACTGGCCAATAGCGATCGCTGGCAGATCGCTCAGAGCACTTTAAATGACGACATGATCAAAATGCAGCAATATAATAAAATTATTTTCAGCAC